GCTTTAACCTGGTGGTGGAGACGGTGGTCTCGTCCCCGGCCTGGCCAAAGGGCTGGAAAAGAAAAGAGAGTCAGGGTGGAACCTCCCCTCTTCCCCCACCCAGAGCCCTCGCCCATCTGCCCTGGGTAGGGGGGGGTCATCCCCACAGCCATCCTGCCCTGCCCCCCTGCCCGGCAGGCACTGCCACCCCGGTGCCCGCACTGCCCCTTCCCACAGGGGACACGTGGCCTCCGCTCCCCTGACAGGTTCTCCTTCACGCAGAAATCACAGTTGGCTTTGGGGTTTTCCCCAAGCTCTCCTCGCATCGTTGCCCTGTTTTGTTTCTAGCTTTTAGAAAAGGGGGGAGTGGTGGGGTGGTCTCTGCCCCTCCGATGGTGGTGAGGAAGCGGTTGGGCACATGGTGGCTCACGGGCCCTGCGGCGGAGGATGTGGGGTGCAGGAGCAGAGCTGGGAAATGCCTGTGCTGAAATGCAAGAATGGGGAGGAGGAGGAGGAAGGACCCCTCATCCCCCCGGGCTGTCGCAAGCAGGGACATTGCAGTCATTGTGTGAGATGTAACACAGCTGGGATGGTGATTTCAGGGCAGTTTCCTTCCATCTCTCAAGGTCAGCACCTTCTAAATTAAGGTGTTTGCGTGAATCCCTTGTGCCCTGGCCATGCAGGACCACTCTGCTCTCACTGGGTTTTTGGTCCCTTCCCGGGACTCCTGGTGTAAGTGGTTGTGTGTCACGCCTGCAAAGGGGGACCGCAGCGACAAGCACTGCCCTGGGCTGCTGGAAAAGGGACGCTATTTCCCTCCGTGAACTAGCCCCCACGCTGCTTCGCACCATTCCTCGGGTCCTTCTGGAGCCAGGACAGAGCCAGGAACGGGTCCCTGATGCCCAGCTCTGCCCCTTCACAAGCACTCTTGCGCTATGAGGGCTTTTGGCTGGTTTGCCTGGCCACAGAGGGGGGCTCCCAAAAGGTAAATGCACCCCATGGAGCCAGCGGCAGGTTGCAGCCATGTGGAGTTTGTGAGCAAAACCACCACAGACGAATCTGGCCCCATTACCAACGTGCTTTAGAAAAAACAACCATCCCAAGAGCTGCTCCGAAAAGCATCACCCTCCCTAAAAGTGCCGCCACGTTCATCCCTCCCACGCAATGGTCCCCACCGAGGAGAGCACCGACATCCACCAGCATGGTGCTGGAGCCGAGCCCTCATGGAGCCTCCTGGCAGGAAGGAAAATAACCTCCAGTGGGGAGCAGTGAGAGGAAATCAGACAGCTGTATGCCCACCCAGCGTCCCCACAGCCGTGCTCAGCATCCCCATAGCCCTGCAGCCATCCTCACTGTCCCCACAGCCATCCTCAGTGTCCCCACACCAGGCACGGGCTGGGGCCAGTATGCAACAGAGAGGCTGCAGGATGTGGTGGAGAGCTAAGTGCAAAGGTTACAGATATACATGATGCTCTTAAGTAAAAAAATGCTTTAAAAAAAGTAACGTATGGAAGTATTTAGACCTTACAGACCACAGTGCAAAGCTCCTGGTAAGACAGCCAGCGTTAAAGTCAAATGCTCAGGTTTCCAGCTGAAGTTCAGCAGAAATTCTCCCACTGGTTGAACCCCACAGCCCCCCAGCTGCCATCACACCCCCAGGACAGAGCTGGCTGGACCCCCTCGGCCTCCGCGGGGCCCCACGCTGTGGGATTTCTCTTACCATGCAGAGGACAAGCAGGGCAAGCAGGAGGAGCAGGTGGGCACGCTGGAGGGGCTGCATGGTTGGGGCTCAGCTCAGCGTGTGCCGTGACACTTCCTCATCTGCTCACAGTGATTGCAGTCAAAGGCTTTAAGCACAGCAGTGGCTCTGTCTCACCAATCACACCTTCCTTCCTTGCACCGGCCCCACCACCCCAAAGGGATGTTTGAACCCAGGGTGATTTGAGGAAGTCACATCTGCTGCGGATGCTGCGAGGGAGAAGTTGCAAGACATGGGGATCTCCAGATGGACACAACCCCGTACAGCCCTTTCAGCCTTACTTTTCCAGAGCTGTTGATCTACATTGCCCGGCACAAGAGCAGCTTCTGCTCCTCCTGTTCCCCAGCAAGGCTGCACGGCCAGCCCCGATCGGGACATCCTGGCCACCATCTCCAGCAAAGGCAGCGAGCACCTTGCCCTGCTTTTTCCCACATCACAAAATACCGCCTGCAGCAGGAAACCCCCCAGGCTGAGCTCTGCTTTTCCCTGGGGGCTGCCTGTCCTGTGCCCCACACCCATGAAGAACTCATAGTGGTTATGGGTTCACTGGGAGGGTTTGTAAATTCCGACCAACGTTTCAACAAGAGCTCTGCATTCCACCACGTAACAAACCTCCTTCCCTGCAGCTCAGGGCAGAAGCTGGGTCCAAGCTGTCCCTCTGAATTTCAGTTACATACCTGGGGTAGTCAGATCTGGGTAATGGATCAGGGAAACACTTCCTTCCAGCCCCCCCAATATCCAACTCCTCTCAGCAGATCTCTGAGCTCCCTTACCCGCTCAACTGCACCAGCAGGAGGAAACAAAAGGGATCTGATTATTTTACTACGGTTTGAAATAAGCACTACTGAAATGCTCCAAGCACATACACCTGCTGTCTGGTTTTGTGTTGGTGAAGCGTATCGCAGCACAGCAAGCCTGCTGCCAGCCTCTGCCCAGAGCTGAAGGCTCCTTGGTGACAAAGCCTCACCAAATTTAGTTAATTTTTGCACATCATACAAGTGTCAGAATGGAAGTCTCTTGTGGACAGCCAACATCCCATAAAAGGTGCTAAAAATCAGCCTGTTCTGCCCCTCTCTAACTGTCGAGGCCGAGCTCTCCGGAGAGCAGAGCAGCACGGTGGCAGTGGGCAGGATGGGGGACGCACAGGGAAGGCTCTCTGGATGACAGCAAGCGCCAGGTGGAGTTCAGAGCATCAGCGAGGCAAAACGAGCGTGTGGTAGCGCCGGGTTGAGGGAAAGCATTGCTAGAAAACAGAGACAAGAGCGGCAGGTGAGGAAATGCGGAGGAGCTGTGATGCCTCAGGTCAGGCTGTGCCACAGACCACGTCTAGGAGCTGAAGCTACAGGTGCGCAGAGGGTGGCTGAGGAAAGGAAGCATGGCTGCCTGTGGTGGAACCGCTCCAGTTCTGGGAAATGTTTGAAGCCCTCTGAAGTGAACGGAGCTCGAAAAAGCACCATTTTGCGGGGCGGTGTGCAGGGCAGAGGACAGGCAGGGAGCCGTTCGGCCTGGCCGAAATCCAGTCCTCAAAGCGGCAAACGGCGGCGGCTTCCCCCGGTGAATCCCACCTCCGGGTGCGGGTTCGGGGAGGCCGG